CAGGCCCTATCGGACTTTTTTTTTTTCTGTTGTCGGCTTCTCTTTTTGGATGGGATGATCAGAAGCTTCTTGAGCTGGATTAAGTACTCGTTTCTTAGGGGTTCAATGAAACTACGAACATGCCTCTCCCGCTAAAAGGTTGACATTGAATTGCACTTTGAGAATTAAAAAAACAAAACAAAAAAATTGGCCCTGAAAGCCACAACATTGTTTTGATTTTTCTGTGACTACTGTATCGGATTTTTTCCCTTCATACATCCATCCATTTTCGAATCCACTTATTCTCACAAAAGGTGTGCTGGAACTATCACGTGAATTAAAAAAAAATACCTAAACACATACCTGGGATTCTTTAAAAACACGAAGAAAAAAAAACGTCCGTGGCATTGAATGAGTTAAGTAAGGTGACTATTGTCTCTCGATGTGAGGTAGAGGTGGTTGTACACAACTCCAAATTACCACAAGTACAAACTAAACGTGAGGTACTTTTGACACTTGTCTGTGGGGTCACCTGCTTCCAAGCCCCAACCGCTGTTTGCAGTGAAACTTGCTGCAATCGGACCCGCCTTCCACCTGCATCACTCGCACTGCTTCATGTGGTAAACAAAGAGTTAGGATACCTGAAAAAAAAATACGCTGCAATGTACAAAACACCACCAAACACTTTTCCGCTCGTGGTGATTTTGGCAGTGTTATTTCAGGAAACACCCCTGGGGTCGTTCCTGTAGTGCAGCTGTTTCCCTGGGCCTCGTAGGGATGCCAACTGACAAAAGTGAGACGAGTGCCTCTTGCGAAACAAAAGCCGGCTTGTCAATCAAACTGGCGTGACTGGTGAGTTACCAGCGCGTGTTTCGTCAGCTTGCTTTGGGACAGTCTCCTTGTGGAGCGTGTGTTGTGCTGCTGCGGTTAGTAATGTGACTTAGGTCATTTGATGTATTTCCCTTTACTGGCAAGCCCCACTTTTTTTTTTCCCATGTCACATGAATGGTTTTGAACAGTGTCATCCTATAAAATAATGCAAAGTGCAGTACATGAGCTGTAAGAAAAAGTGCCTTAATTCTGCTTGTCTTTTTTTTTTTTTTTTTGGCCACCGTGTAAATTCGTGTTTCTAGTTGTAGCTTTAAGTAACATACAACACACGTACACGTTAATTTTCTCATTTAGGTATCCAGCAATACAAATGCAAAGTACAACCACAAATGATTTTTTAAAAAAGCGATTACGTCGGCTCTCTTTTTCTCATAAAATCCTCTAAAGTAGAATCATTCGAATGAATCGCAGTACTCCAACCGCATTCGATGGTGCTAGCAAAAAAAAAAAAAAAGATTAGCAATTGGAATCGCCCGTGTGTGTAGCTTACCTGATTCTGAGCAGGACCCAGTTGGGGGAAAATCCCGATTTGAAAGTTATAAAAGTACGAGTCCTGGAATTGATGATAGAAAACTGATGGTCCAGACCAAATTGGTTGACTTCCTGTTCACTTTCAAGACGTGTGTTGAGAATTTTTTTTCCAGGTGCCACTTTCGTGTCAATCGGTGAAACTCGCGTCAGCCTTATTTTTACACTTCTCAATAAATTTTCGGGTCGGGACGGGGGGGTAGGGGTTTTCACTTCTCACCACGTTGAAGCGCCCCCCCCAAAAAAAAGGGATTTATTTGAAATTATCATCAAATCTTGATGTCGTGTTTTACCCAGTTGACACAGCATAGGTTAAAAAAAAACCACCCATCTGTGTCGGAAATAAGAATTTCAATTTGGGCGAATTTTTTCAGTAGGTGTTCATCGAAATTAAATCCTTCAGACCAAAATGATGGACTTCCCGTTAAGACTTTCTTGTGCGTCCTCTTTGGGTGGTACCCAACTTCCCGATGACCGGTGAAACCGCTGTTGGGGTCTATATTTTTTTTTTCCATTTAGTTTTCAGACAGCGCCAGTGAGCTTTGCGATCGACCCATAAAAGATAACTCCTCACCTGGATTCATAACTTATCATCAATTAAACTGAATTGACCAAGTAAAGGCTGAACTATTTATTTGTACTAAAAGAATGTTGTGTGCGCTTCATGCCTCACGGGTGCCATCTAACTCCCGGCGTGAAACCGGATTCTGCCCAAAATGATCCGTTTAATCGGATCCGATGGCACAGAAATGCAAAAGCGCAGGTGTCAAGAGGTGCGCGGCGCCCTTATCTCATCCATCATCCGAGTGACGGTGAAGGCAAAAAGTGTCGAATTACGCCTTGGGTGTCATCGGAGACGCTTCCCACAGTTGTACGGGGGCTCCGTCTTAGCATCGGGGCGCCTCTGCTCTTTAATCACACCTGAAGGTTTTGGGTTTCACGCATCAGTCATGCTGAGTGCTCCACCTGTGCACACAAAGGTTTTTTTTGTTTTTTTTTTTTTTTTTAAGGTGACCTGAAATTTTATCATCTGTGGAGAGAAATTGTTGTGGTTCCGGTCTGATAGGCATGCCTTACTGTCTATTTGGGCATGCGCGTTCAACGATGACACGGTCAGTGGATCATCCTTGGACAAGAGGTGGTCCGCACGCACCGTGAGGTTGTCCCACGACGGGTTCGCGTGTGTGGTTGTGCGCACGAGCTCGCTGTCGATTGAGACAGAGGTGGAATGATCAGCACGTGATCTTGCGGCCGTGGAGAAGTCATAAAAGCCAGCAGAGGATGAGTCGCGCTCACACACACACACACACACAACAAAAAAAAGAAGAGCTTGTGCATCAGACCTTGTGCATCCGCACCCAACCAAGAAGGTAAAACACTTGCTGCAACACGATTATTATTATTATTATTATTACTAGTATCCTACCTCTTGTTAAAATAACGAATTCAGGTGATCATGTAACTCTTAATTCTTGCAGATAACATGGGTGATTTTTTTCCTTCGCCATCCGTGACGACAGCAACTGATGACTTTGTCACTGTGAGTATTTGTCGTTGGAGCAGGGCCATCGTGGCTTGTGAATTACGGTGCAGTTATTATATTAGAATATAAACAAGAAATAGAAATAAACATATTTAGACGGACTTCCCTTCCGAACTTTCTTCTCTTCACTTTAAATGTAAAGTCAGTTAAATTGGCAAAAATGTTCTTGGATTGGGCCAAATATGTTTTTTTTTTTCATGATGAGACTTCTGTTTGATTGAGCACAAGTAATCCACGTAATGAACAATTTGTATTCATATTTGTACAAAGAAAAAAATACAAACACATGGTTTTAACACCTATTTGAATGCAAAAAAAAATAAGAATGAAATATTGATTGAACTAGTCGGTAATGGATATGAATAAATACTTTGTATTTCAATTTCTAAGACTCTTGTATAGTTTTAAAGAATAATAAGTGCTTCGCTCACAGCACTGTGCCTGCTTAAATGTAAAAAAAAAAAAAAA